TTCTAATCTATTCTGCAGCAGCAGCAGCAGCAGCAGCAGCAACAGCAGCAGCAGCAAGAGGTGCAGCAGCAGCAACAGGAGCAGCAGCAACAGCAACAGCAAAAAATTACACAAAAAATTTATTCATATTACCTATATACACACAGAAAATCTATTGGGTATACTGCAGCAGCAACAGCAGCAGCTAGTGCAGCAGCTACTGCAGCAGCTACTGCAGCAGCAGCAGCAGCAGCAGCAGCAGCAAGAGGAGAGAGACTTACAACAGGTACTTGTATTCCTTGTCCAGCAGCACATCTATATTTATACATAACAGAAGGACTTAATCTCCCTACCTATAAATAAATAAATAAATAAATAAATAAATAAATAAATAAATAAATATAAATAAATAAATAAATAAATAAATAAATAAATAAATACGTACAGGCTTAGCAAGAATTCTTCTATTTATTAACGAAGGAGGAAATGCGCGAATATTTTTTTCTTCTTTTTTTTTTTTTTTATTTTTATTTGTTAAGGATAAAGGGTATATACACCCTGATAATTGCTGCTGCTGCTGCTGCTGTTGCTGCTGCTGTTGCTGCTGCTGTTGCTGCTGCTGCTGTTGATGGTATTGTTGCTGTAGGTATTGTTGTTGTTGTTGTTGTTGTTGCTGCTGCTGTCGGTAGTATTGCTGCTGCTGCTGCTGCTGCTGCTGTATATGCTGGTTCTGAATTGCTGCAGCAGCATGATGTTGTTGCTGCTGCTGTCTTATGTGTGCAGCAGCAGCTGTTGCTGCTGCATGTTGTTGCTGCTGCTGTTGAGCTGCTGCTGCTGCTGCTGCAGCAGCAGGAGAGACATTGTTGTTGCTGCTATTGACAACTCTGCTTTGTAGTACAACATTATTTAACATAAGAGAAGAAGAAGAAGGTGTATGTACACCATAACTACTACTGCTGCTGCTGCTGCTGCTGCTGCTGCTGCTGCTGCTGCTGATAGCAGCAAGAGGTAGACAGAATTCCTCAGAGGAGAGACGATCGCATGCAGTGCTGTCGCTGCATGCAGCGTCACTCATACGAGGAGAGGAGGGGCAAGTTGTTGCTGCTTCCTTTTCTTGGCAAGCAGCAGCAGCAGCTGCTGCTGCTGCTGCAGCTGCTGCTGTAGCAGCTGCTGCAGCAACAGCAGGAGAAGGAGCAGCAGCAGCAGCAGGAGTAGGTGCCTCTGTCTTGCGGCAAGGATTCTTCTTGCTGACTATACGAGACGCACGTCGTCGAGACGCAGCAGCTGCTGCTGCTGCAGATGCAGCTGTTGCTGCTGCTGCTGCTGCTCCTGGCTCTCCTGCTGCTGTTGCTGCTGCTGCAGCAAAGCTTCTTCTTCCTTCCTGCCTACGAGGATGATGTTGAGGACTCATTGTATAGCAGAAATAATAAATAAAAAGAAAGAGGATTAAAATATACCTCTTACTAGGTTATTTTGTTGCTGTTGCTGCTGCTGTTGCTGCTGCTGTTGCTGCTGCTGTTGCTGCTGCTGCAGTCGGCAGCAACAGTCGGCTGCGCTTTTTCTTAAGATATTTCCTTTATATAAACAAAGAGAGGCCTAATAAGACTATAAAAAGGAAATATATAATTAAATTAGTAACAATAAGAAGGTAAAAAGAAAGAAAAATAAGGCGTCGCTGTTCCTGTTGCTGCTGTTGTTGTTGCTGTTGTTGCTGCTGCTGCTGCTGCTGTTGTTGCTGCCGAGTCTTCTTCTCTACTTCCGTTATCCTTGCGAGTACAGCGACGGCAATAGGAAAGAGGCAATAAGGAGTAAAATAGATGTATAAAAAGGCATAAAATATATCTATTTTTAATTAAATAATAATAATTATATAAATAAAAGAATAAATATAAATAAATAAAAGAAGATCATAAAGAAGAAAGGAAGAAAAGAAGGATAAATGGCTCGCGCGGCCCATCGACAGCCGACACACCTATACTATAGAGGCCCCCACCCTTATACAGAAGAAGAAGAACAGACCTAATATAGACAATAAAATGCATAAAATTAACTAAATTAAGTACTTTTTATAAAATATACATCAATTCTTATCATATTAATGTATTTATACAGAAAAATAACAACAAAATATACACTAAATGACCCCTCTTACCCCCCTCTCCTTTGCAAGGAGAGGTGGTGGTGCGCATCCGTCTTATATTCCAGCTGTACGTACACCCCAATTAATTTTCTTCTTTCTTCTTTCTTCTTTTTTTTTATTTATTTATTCTTTTTTCTTTATTTATTCTTTTCTTTATTTATTCATTTAATAAAATACTATTTTTATTCTTTTCTTTTTTTATTTTATTTCCTTTTTCTCCTTTTTATTTATTTATACACACCCCTCTATACTTCCTCTCTTGTCCATTGGCGCCTCTTATTATACAGTCCGTTCTTCTTTTTCTTCTTCTTTTTCTTTCTTCTTATTTTTTTCTTTTATTTATAAATATATTTTAATTAATATTCATTTATATAGAAAAAGAGACACATAAAATAAATAAATATTATTAATACAGCAATTATATATGTATATACATGTATATATACAATTGTATGTGTATATAAATATACATGTACAGTGTATATATATATGTATAGATAAATATATATACTGTATAAGAGAATATTCTCTTATTTATATTCTTTTTTTCTCTTTTTTTTTCTTTCTTTTTGCCTATATAAATAAACTAATTAACTAATTTATATTATTTTGTTCCTTTTTATTATTATAAGGAAAAGGGAAGAATGCATGCATATGCATGCATTCTTCTCTTTTATTTGTATATATATAAAATAAATAAATAAATAAATAAATAAATAAATAAATAATAATAATAATAATTATTATTATTATTATTATTTATATTTATATTATTAATTATTATCTTCGTCTCTATTTGCTTTTTACTATATATATAAAAAAAGAATATAATAAACAAAATAAATAAATAAATTAAATAAATTAAATAAATAAAATAAATAAATTAAATAAATAAATTAAATAAAAAAAGAAAAGTATTTAAATAAAGGAGACAGCAATTATGCTGTATAAAACAAATTAAATAAATTATTTATTTATTATACAAAAAAAAAAAGATTTTTTTTCTTTATTTCCCTATATAAATAAATATATTTATAGGGACAATAAATAAATAAATAAATAAATAAATAAATAAATAAATAAATTATTTATTTATAAGTAAATAATATATGTATATATATACATATATAAATAAATAAATTAATTAATTAATTAATTAATTAATTAATTAATTTATATTTATATTTATTGTTTTAATTAAAACAAATAAATAAAATAAATAAAATAGTTATATATATAATTATAAATATAATTATTATAATAAATAATTAATAATATTAATTATTATATAATTAATTAATTAATTAATTAATTAATTAATTAATTAATTAATTAATTAATTAATGATTTTTTTTTTCTTAATAATGTATTAGTACTACTAGTATTACGTATAGAGGAAGGTGCGTATACACCTGAAGGTTTTTTTTCTTCTTTTTTTTTTTCTTTTATTTCTTTACTATTTAATCTATTACTAGTAGATAATATACTACGTTGACGCCTATCTCCTGCTGCTGCTGCTGCTGTTGCTGCTGCAGATCTAGCTGCAGCAGCAGCAGCAGCAGCAGCAGTAGGTGTTGATTGCCGCGCTGCAGATGTACGAGTAACAGAGTTCCTGCTCCATGCTGCAGCATATGCTGCACCAATTTGCCTGCTGCTGCTGCTTCTGCTGCTGCTGCTGCTGCTGCTGTTGGATTTAGCTGCTGCACTTCGACTGCATGCACGGAGAGTTGTTTGGGGCTTTGGGCTTACACTAGCTACACTTGATGCTCCCCTTACCAGTCTGTTGCTGCTGCTGCTGCTGCTGCTGCTGCGGGTAGGAGGAGCAGCAGCAGATGATGAGACAGTTTGTGCTGTCCTTGTTTGCTGCAGTCTACTTGCTGCAGCAGAAGGCTGTCTCCTTATTTGCTGCTGCTGCTGCTGCTTCTTTGCTGCTGCTGCTGCTGCAGAGGAGGAGACGAGCCTACAAGATGTTTTAACACCTCGAGGTTTCTCAGGTGCAGCAGGAGTTGCTGCTGCTGCTGCTGCTGCTGTTGTTGTTGCTGCTGCTGTTGCTGCTGCTGTTGATGGTGTTTCTGGTGTTGCTGCTGTTGGTGCTGCTGCTGCTGCTGCTGCCTGCCCCTCAGCGAGTTGTTGATAAAGAAGTCGAAGCAGCAGCAGCGCGTCTGTGGGGGCAACAGCAGCAGCAGCAGCTGCTGCTGCTGCAGCAGCAGCAGAAGCAGCAGCATTGTTTTGCATCTGTGAGGTTCTCCTGCTGCTATTTATTTCTTGTTTAAGATGCTGCCTTGATGGGCTAGGAAGGGGTTCTCCTGCTGCTGCTGCTGCTGCTGCTGTTGTTGCTGCTGCTGCTGCTCCTGCTGCTGATGTATCTTCTGCTGCAGCAGCAGCAGCAGGACTGAATGCACCTAGCAGCAGCTGTTCCTCCCACGATCCCTGTGTTCGTGGGGTAGATTGTTTTCTATAGATTGCTGCTGCTGCTGCTGCTGCTGCTGCTGCTTCTGTGGGGCTGGCTTGTGTCAGCAGCCGACCGCATGCAGCAGCAATGCATGCCTCGCAGCGGCGACTAGAAGGAAGGTTTAAGCAGCTACTTTGCTGCTGCTGCTGCTGCTGCTGCTGTTGCTGCTGCTGCTGCTGCACTGGTGTCAGCAACACAGAAGAAGATGCACCACAACGACCACCACGTACCCCACGACTTCCTGCTGCTGCTCCTGCTGCTGTTGCTGCTGCTCCTGTTGCTGTAGCACCTGTACCTGCTGCAGCAGTAGCTGCTTCTCCTGCTGCTGCTATTGCTGCAGTAGGACCAACAACTGCAGCAGCGTCTGCAGCAGCAGCTGCTGCTGGAACCCCATCTGCTGTTGCTGCTCTTGCTGCAGCTGTGGGTGCATTAGGATTTGCTGCTGCTGCTGCTGCTGCTGCTGCTGCTATTGTTCTTGCTGCTGTTGGTGGTAATGCTGCTGCTTATGTTGTGGTTTTTGCTATAGCTGCCGCCAACATTGTTGTTGCTGATGCTCCTGCTGCTGCTGCTGTTACTACTGCTGCTGCTGTTGCTACTGCTGCTGCTGATGCTGCAGCTGCTGCTACGTCGGCTGCTGCTTCTGCTGCTGCTGCTGTTCCTGGTAGCAGCAGCAGCATCATTGCATGCATTAGCAGCAACATGCAGAGGATATTCAACAGAGTCGTACAAAGAAGCACAAATCTCTTCTGCAGCAACCGTCTTCCCTGCTGCTGCTGCTGCTGCTGCCCTGGCTGCTGCTGCTGCCCTGGCTGCTGCTGCTGCTCTTGCTGCTGCTGCTGCTCTTGCTGCTGCTGCTTCATTCTCTTTGTTTAGTCTTAATGCTGATGCGTCCTCATCTGTAAGACCTACTGCATGAGAAGATATGCAAGCAGATTCTGCTGCTGTTGCTGCTGCTGCTGTTGCTGCTGCTGCTGTTGCTGCATCTTCTGCTGTTGCTGCATCTGCTGCTGCCTCTGTTGCTGAAGATGATTCTCTTTCTGTTTCTGCATCGGTTGCTTCTGCTGCACTTGCTGCTTGTGTTGCTGTTGCTGCACCTGTTGCTGTTGCTGCAACTGTTACTTCTGCCTCACTTGGGGCTTCTTTTGCTGCATCTGCTGCTTGTGCTGCTGCTGGTGCTGCAGTTTGTGCTGCAGCTAGTGCTGCTTCTCCAGTTGTTGTTCCTGCTGCACCTGTTGCTGTTGCTGCACCTGTTGCTGTTGCTGCACCTGTTGCTGTTGCTGCGTCTGCTGCTTCTGGTGCTGTTATGATGACTCGTATAGCATCAGGACTTCTACGTTCTTTGACAGACGGCTGCTGCTGCTCAACTGCTGCTGCTGCTGTTGCTGCTGTTGCTGCAGCAGCACAGGAAGGACTGCCTGTGTCTGTAGGGTGCGGTGTCGTTGGAGTTGAGCAGCAGCTGCTGCTGAGTTCTTCCGCCCTATGCCGTAAACATTCAGCTGCTGCTATTGTTTCAGCTGCTGCTGCTGTTTCTGCTGCTGCTGTTGATTCAGTTGCTGCTGCTGCTGCTGTTGTTGATTCAGCTGTTGCTGCTTCTGCTGCTGTTGACTCAGCAGTTGCTGCTCCTGCTGCTGTTGATTCGGCTGCTGCTGCTTCTGCTGCTGTTGATTCGGCTGGTGCTGCTTCTGCTGCTGCTGATTCGTCTGGTGCCGCTTCTGCTGCTGGTGACTGAGCTGCTGCTTCTGCTGCCTCTGTTGATTTAGCTGCTGCATCTGCTGCTGCAGCAACAGCAGCAACTGGTGGCTTATGCTGCCCGTCATGTTGGCAGTGTTGTGCTGTCATTGACTCTCCTATTTCCTGTAGAGACTCCACGTCTTCTTGTTGTTGCAGTTGCTGCTGCTGCTGTTGCTGCTGCTGCTGTTGCTGCTGCTGCTGTTGCTGCTGCTGCTGTTGCTGCTGCTGTTGCTGCTGCTGTTGCTGCTGTTCCTGGTCTTCTTTTCGAAGACTTTTGTTCTCTTCTCTGTGCCGTTGCAACTCGTCTTCGCTCTGCCGTAGCTGTTGCTGCTGTTGCTGCTGGTGTTGCGTCTGCTGCTGCTGCTGCTGCTCTAATGGGAGGCCACTGCATTCATTTGGGGTTGCTGCAGTGCCCGTCGCAGCAGCAGCAGCAGCAGCAGACGCAACAGCAGCAACTTGTTCTTCTGTGCATGCTGCTGTCTCCATTTTATTTAGATCAGAGTCAGCTATTGCAATAGAGGCACTTTGCTGCTGCTGAGAGCCAGCAGCAGCAGAAGGTTGCTGCTGCTGCTGCTGCTGCAGTTGCTGCTGGTGTTCCTGCTGCTTCTCCTGCTCCCGCTGTAGCTGTTTCTCGTGTTGCTGCTGGTGCTGCAGCTGCTGCTGTTGTTCGTGCTGCTCCTGTTGTTGCAGTTGCTCTTCATGTTGCAGCTGCAGCTGCTCGTGCTGCTGCAGTTGGTGCTGCAGTTGATGCTTGTCTTCGTGCCGTTGCTGTTGTTGCTGCTGCTGGTTGTCTTCACGTTGCAGTTGCTGCTGTTGCTCGCGTTGCGGCAATTGCTGCCGCTGTTCATGATGAACCTCTTGGTGTTGCAGTTGCTGCTGCTGCTGCTGCTGCTGTTCTGCTTGTTTTTTGTTTTGTTTCTGCTGCTGTTGTTGCTGCAGGTAGATTTCCCGTTGCTGCTGCAGTTGCTGTTGTTGTTGCTCCAGTTGCTGCAGCTCGTGCATGCTTTGCTGCAGCTGTTGCTGCAGCAGCAGAACGTTACATGCAACAGACGTTGGGTCTAGTCTACCGTTTGCTGCTGCCGTTCCTGCTACACCTGCTGCTGTTGCTGCTGCTGCTGCTGCTGTGTGCAGCATTTGCTGCTCCTCCGTCTGCACAAAGAAGACACAAAAGGACAAAACATAAAACAATAATGACTGTGCAATTGTTACTGCTTCTCTTGTTACTGCTGCAGCAGCAGCAGCACCTGCTGCTGCTGCTGCTGCTGCTGCAGATATATTATATATAGTCAAGCCCCCAAACCCCCTCTCACCCAGGCCCTGCATGCATGCAGACCCCACCAGCTGCTGCAGCCGCCACTCCCTCTTCCTTAGCGCTGCAGTATTCCCTACAGCAACAATGCATGCAGCATTGGCCCCAATATATTTATATAAACAAACTTATACAACTTTGCTGCTGCTGCTGCTGCTGCTGCTGCTGTTAGTTTACACAGCTGGCTGTCTCGACACCCTAGATCTGTGTCCTAATAAATATAGGAAATAAAAATAATGCATGCAAATTCTTTGAATATTCATCTGCTGCTGCTGCTGCTGCTGCTGCTGCTGCTGCAGCTGCTGTTGCAGCTGCTGCTGCAGGATATTCTTACTTTTGTTTCGGAGTAAAGGGTTGGAGGACTAGAGAAGGAAGTCTTGTCTTCTGCTGCTGCTGCTCTTGCTGCTCTTGCTGCTCTTGCTTCCCTTGCTTCTCTTGCTGCTGTTGCAGTTGTCACCTCCTCTCTCGCTGTTGCTGCAGCAAAACAGCAGCAAACAAACTTGCTGCTGCAGCATTTATCTTTTTCTTTTATTAATTACACAGAGAGAGAGACACAAAAGTAGCTAAGTAGCAAAGACAGCCCAGTGTCCTTACAGAAGTTGCTGCAGTTGCTGCAGTTGCTGCTGCAGTTGCTCCTGTCGTTGCTGCTGCTGCGCTGCGGCAGCAGCAGCTCAACTCGTTCCCAACTTGTTGGGCCCCAATTTTGTTTGTGTGGTGCATGCGAGGATCCAGCCCCAAGTATAGCCTGCGTGCATGCATGGGTGAACAATTATAACTATATTAACACAGAAACATGATACAGCAACAGTAACAGCAGCAACAGCAGCAGCAGCAGCAGCAGCAGCAGCAGAGGGTCTATTAGGTTGCTTGCCTGTCTTAGGGTAGCATTTTCTTTCTCTACTAACTCTTTTGCCCTTCTTAGATTTTCATTAACTGTTTCTACCTGCTGCAGCTTTGTGGTGTACATACTGCGCGGAGAAGCAGCAGCTTCTGCTGCTGCTGTTGTTGCTGCTAATGCTGCTGCAGCGTCTGCTGCTGCAGCTGCTGCAGCATCTGCTGTTGTATGCTGGATGCTGCTGCTGTCGGACAGAGGCGATAGCCTTTCGTGTTGCTGCTGCCGCTGCTGCTGCTGCCGTTGCTCTGCATGCACTGGTAGTTGGGAAGAAGCAGGAGAAACAGCAAAAGGAACATCAGAAGAAGAACAAAAAGAAGCAGCAGAAGCAGCAGAAGCAGCAGCAGCAGCAGCAGATTCTTCTTCATATATAGAAGATATAGCAGCAGAAGCAGCACTCCTCTGCAGCAAATCTTCCTTCTCTCCTCCACCAACAGAAAAACTGCAAACAACAAAAACACCAAAAACCCTAAACCCTAAACCCTAAACCCTAAATACCAAACCCTAAACCCTAAACCCTAATAAATGTTGCATGCAAGGAGTCTTATTCGTGTATCTGCTGCTTACCTCGTGGCGCTTCGTTGATGGTGTTGCGGTGTATGTACAGCAGAAGAAGAAAGAGAATTTGCATGCAAAACATAAACATTTTTTCCTTCTTTTTCTTTTTTTATTGTTTTATTAGCAGCAGCAGCAGCAGAAAAAAGAAATTCTTCTCTTGTATAACGAGGAGGATAAGCAGCAGCAACACAATCTGCTGCTGCTATTGCTGAGGAAACATCCGTATCTCTGCTATATCCTATACTCTCGCTCTCTACTTCTCCTGCTGCTGCTCCTGCTGCTCCTGCTGCTTCTGCTGCTGACGCTGGCTCATGGCCGCGGTGATGCTGCTGCTTTGGTTTCCTTCGACGCTGCATATCGGGGTGTACGTACGCGCCAAAGTTCGGAGCCAGAGTCTGCTGCTGCTGCTGCTGCTGCTGTTGCTGCTGCTGCTGCCTTTGTGTCTTGTGTTGCAGGGAATGGGAGTCTTGAGGTTCTCGAGGGGAGGGAGTTTGTGGCAGGATGCTTTCTACACTCGGGCTGCTGCTGTTGTCCCCGCTGCTGCTGCTGCTGCTGCTGTTGCTGCCTTTTAAAGCAGCACTTGTTGCTGTTTGGTCTGGCTCAACAGCAGCAACAACAGCAGCAGCTCCAGCAGCAGAAGTTCCTGCAGCAGGAGCTGAGGGGGGTGAGCAAGCGAAGGATGACTCCTCTTCTTGCCCTTTCTTTCCAGAAGCAGCAGCAGCAGCAGCAGCAGCAGCAGGAGAAGCAGCAGCAGCAGGTGCAGGAGGAGCCGCAGCAGCAGCAGCAGCAGCAAGAGTTGAATTGTTGTCAGCAAGCCATCTTTGCTGCGCCTGTGCTGCTCTAGCACGAATACAACTAAGACTTTGACGTATTGCTTCGTGCTGCTGCTGCAGATGCTGCTGCTGCTTCCTTAGCTGCTGCCTCTCTAGTTCTGTATCTCCTGCTGCTTTGCTGCACTCCCTTAATCGTGTTTCTGCTGCTTCCTTTAGCCTCCGCAGCTCGCTGCATGCACTTTTCTGCTGCTGCAGCGACTCCCTCAGCTCCTTAATTGTTGCTGCTGCAGTAAGTCTTGCTGCCTTTAATTCCCTAGTAAGAGAAGCTTGTGCTGCTTCTGCTGCTGCTAATTCCTCTGCTGCTTTAGATCTAAATTTATCGTGCTGCAGCTGCAATGCATGCACTTCCTGTTGTGCTGCTGCTGCTTGCTGCACCTTCTCATTCAGGTGTCTCTGCAGCTCCTCTACTGCCTTACATGGCTGCTGCTCCCGCTGCTGCTGCAGCTGCTGATTAACAGCCCTTAAGAAAGATAATTCATTCGTTAATAATTCACATTTACATTCTGCTGCTCGCATACCCTCACGGCATGCATGCAGCTCCTGCTGCAGCTCCTCTATACCTGACTCTCCTAATGCTGCTGCTGCTGCTGCAGCAGCAGCAGCAGCAGAGTCTCCTGCTGCTCCTCCTCGTCCTTTACCCCCATGACGCAGAAGATCCTCAACAGCTAGCAAACACTTCAGTGCTGCTGCACTACCCTCATCCTGCGTCAGGTCTTGTTGTTGTTGCTGTTGCTGCTGTTGCTGCTGTTGCTGCTGCTGCTTGTTATCTTGCTGCAGCTCCTGCTGCTCTAGCTCACGACGTTGCTGCCTCATTGTTTCCTCTTTCCTCCAATTCAGCAGCAAACTACGTATCCTTGTTGCTGCATCTGCTGCTGCTTTTTGTGTCTCTGCTTCTTCTTGTACTCTTCTTAATTCTGCCTTTAATTCATCAACCTCTAAACATAATTCTGCTGTACGTTGCTTCTCTGCTGCTATTTCCGCCCCGCATGCACTTGCTGCAGCAGCAGCAGCTGCTGCTGCTGCTGCTGCAGGATCAGGAGCAGGAGCACCACGGATAGCAACAGAAGATGAAGGATAAGCAGCAGAACCGAACATACCCAGCCCTGGCTTGTTGTTGTTGCTGCTGCTGCTGTTGCCTAACCCAAGATTGAATCCACACGAGGGTGCTGCTGCTGCTGCTGCTGTTGTTGTTGTTGCTGCTGCTGGTTGCTGCTGCAAATAACCTGCAGGTGCACCAAATGCATGCGGCCGTTCAAAATAGCTTCTTGCCTTCTCTGCTAAGGAAATGCCAGCAGCAGCAGCAGCAGAAGAAGAAGGAGAAGAGGAAGACGCAGCAGCAGCAGTCTTTGCTACTCCAGCTGCCTGCCCCAATTGTACTTTTTCTGCTGCAGCAGACTGTGCATCATATCTTCCTGTTGATGCTGCTGTTCTTGCTGCAGCAGCAGCAGCAGGAGCAGGATATGTTGTTGCTGGACTGTTATTATATGCAGGAACAGCAGGTTTGCTGCTGCTGCTGCTGCTGCTACTGCTGCTGCTGCTATTATTAGCAGCAAAAATACTAGTTGTTGCTGCAGCACTCTGTGCAAATTGAAAGAGACCACCAGCATAAAGAACATCATCTACTCTGTCTTCTGCTGCTTCTTGCTGCTGCAGCCGCAGCCGCGCTCTCTCTACGGACCCCATAAGACTAGCAAGGTCCCAATCTGTATTATCTCCTCTGCTGCTGCTGCTGCTGCTGCTGCTGCTGCTGCTGGTGTCTGCTGTGTCTCTCTCCTCATGCTCGAAAAGAAGACCTCTTAACATCGGGGGCCTCATGTCCCAACGTGACGATGCAGCAGCAGCAGCAGCAGCAGCAGGAGGCGAAGGAGGAGCAACAGCATCAGCAGCAGCTGCAAATGGGTATTTTGCTTTCTTCTTCTTGTGCCGCATCCAGTCTGTATAAGGTTCATCAAGAGTTTGCTGCCGCCAGAGCCTCACGCTGCTGCTTGCTGCAGCAGCAGCAGCGCTGCTTCTGTCTTCCTCTCTTAGGGCAGACACAGGGGAAATAGAACTATTAGCATAAGGAGAGAGCAGCAACTCATGGTGCTCCTCCCTTGCTGGTATCCCTGCAGCTGCTGCTGCTCCCGCTGCTCCTGCTGCTGCTCCGGCTGCAGCTTCTGCTGCTGCCTCTGCAGCAGATAAATAATAAGAAGCTGGCTCTGCTCCCTCTATAACAGCAAGCTCTCTGCTTACATCTGCATATATGTCTGTTTCTTCGTCTCCTTCTTCTTCTGCAGCAAACCAAGGAGACTGACCAATGGTCTCTTCATCCATTTCTGCAGGGGAGGCAGAGGGGGAGCCTCTTGCTGCAGCTTCTGCTGCTGCTTGTGCTACTTCTGCTGCTAATGCTTCTCCTGCTGCTGCTTGTGAGGCATCTATAGGATACAGACCTGCAGCTCCGTCTCCTGTAGAAAAGAATAACTCTGAGGTTACTAGAGGCATATTTATCCGCATATGCGGCACTGTACGCCCCATTTTCTTAGAATATTCTGCTGCTGCTGCTGCTGCTGTTGCTGCTGCTTCTGCTGCTACCTTTGGACCCTCAATATTCAATATTGGGGTGTATAGGTTAGGTACTCTAGCCGCAGAAGGCAAGGAAGCTGAACAGCGCGCGGCTGTCTAGTAAATAAACAGCAGAAAAGAATAAAATAAAACCTTAAAGACATAAAAATAGAACAAATTATCTTAAATAAGATGCAGCAAAAGTAAAAAAAGAAGAAAATTCGCTTACTGATTAGGTAAGGTCAACAGCAGAAACATGAATAAGTTGAATGTTGCGCATGCTGCTGCCTCTTCGTCTGCTCACGGTATAAAGAGGAAATAAGAAAGAAAATAAATAAAAAAGAATATTTAATGCCGATTTAGAAGAAAGTTTCTTCTTTTTTCTTCTTTATTCGCCACGGATTATAAGGCGAATTATACCGGCAGAAGGAAGAAGATAAGAGCTGATGGACAGAAGACGGTGAATGTTCATCAGATCTTCATAAGACTTTGAATAAAAGTAAAGAAAAACAAAAAAATAGCAAATTGTTTTTATTGCCTTAATATATAAGTTGATTATAAGAAGATAAAGAAGAAAAAGACAAGAAAGTTTGTTGTATAGTTGGTGGTGGTGATGGACTCAATAGATGCGAGAGGAAAGAAAGCAGATCTTCTTTGTGTTTCCTCTCTATATTAACGAAATAGACAAAACAAT